TCACCTCTGCTCCACCTCCTCCCCGAGCATGCCATCACTGCTCCACTTCTCCCGCCTCCCAGGCTTGCGGCGCCAATCAGCTGTTTGGCGACGCAAGCCTGGGAGGGAGAGAAGCAGAGCAGGGTGGGGAGGAGGCGGAGCAGAGGTGAGCTGGGGCGGGGAGTTTCCCCTGCGTGCCACCCCCCCCTTACTTGCTGCAGGCGGCCCTCCCCGCACCCCCTGCCCCAACTCCCTCCGCCTAAATGCTGGCGGCAACCGGGGCGGCCGAAGATCCGGCCGCCGCGGTCGCCGCCGAAGAAAATGCCGCCCCCCAAATCCTAGCGCCCTAGGCGACCGCCTAGGTCGCCTAATAGGTTGCAACGGCCCTGCTCATCTGGTCCTGTATTTGTTTATAAAGTGATAGAATGGTCCTGGGTTCAGATAGTGGGTGAGGCAGTTCTCTATGAACTTACTGTTATTTCCAAATTGTTAGCTGTAAACATCAGGTCAGAGAAGTGTAACTTTCAGAAGCAAAGAATCTGTAGCAAGTGAGATTATTCTTAAAGGTGAATCTGTTCTGTGTCTCTCCCAGGTGATAAGACCTAGGGGACTATTTTCTAGTGACAATGGCTGGTTAACTGGTTCCCAGCTGTGATTTTCTGGGGTTGGAGCAGCAAGGGGCTTGAGGAAAGATGAGAGGGAAAACTGGACAGTGCATACACTGATAGTAGCCACATTGAAAGGCAAACCAGAATAATGATGGGAAGGCACCACAGAATTGACAGGAGGTGAGAAAAAGGGCTTCCACACCCTAAAAATAGCCCCTTCTTCAGGTGTCATCCATCCAGTTTTCAGGGCAGAGGTCTGTTCAGGGTTCACAGTCCTGCAGTGTAGAAGATTCTCTGGAAAGCTAAAACTGCATTGGGGGCGGGGAGGTATTTCAAGTGTATAATAGATCCTGACACCCTTTTATGTCCCTCTCCCACATGTAGTGGGAAATTCCTTTCCATAATGTAATGACTTATATTATTACATGACTTGGGATGTGGTCATCCTTCTTCCCCGAGGTATACTGTCACTAACTGGATTCTCCTTGGAATGGAGACTAATGCTCTTAAGTACACTATGGTGCATCCTTGTGCACAGGACTTGTACAGTCAGAAATTCCAGTCAGGTGAGCCACCGTATTCCTGAGAACTGCATTTAGTACTAATGCATATTCCAACACTGCCTCCAGCAGTGATAATAATGGGACAAGTCTAACCATCTTGTCATCTAGCCCTACCTAGAACAGCTCTAGCCAATAGGGTAGTTAAAAACTGGAAGTCATCAGTGACATACCTACACAAGTGCTCCCCCTAGTGGAGCTGTAGGAACAATAGGAATACTGGGAAATTTTACAGCCAAACAAACGAACAAAAAGAAATTTAGTCCATACTAGAATGGTCTGCTGGGCATCTCTGAGTATATAAATCAAGAGCAGGTTTATTTCTGAACTAAGAAATTATTCTGAAGTTAATCAGACATGGAGAGATGCCACAGCTGAAGTACAGAATGATAATATTGCAGGATTAGAGTGGTATTCTGGACTCTGCTTTGCCCAGGATAATAATACCAGACTCTTATGATGTCACAAATGAAATCACTAGCATGATATCTGATAAAGACTGATTAGAACAGGGGTCTCAAACATGCGGCCCGCGGAGCTCTTCCCTGCGGCCCGCCAAGCTCCCCGTGCCCCCCTCCAGTTACTTCCTGTCGCCACCAAACTCCCCTCACCCCGAGTTATTTTATGTGGCAGCTAAGCTCCCTGGGCGCTGCTCCCCAGTGTTTGGGCCCCCGGCCCCGCCTGCCACCCCCACGCATCTCCCCCGAGTGTCTCTCGGCCTCACTTGCTGCCCCCTCACCGCCCAGAGCCTGCAGCTCATGCTGACTCCGCTCCGCTCTGCCGGCTTCCGGCATCACCTGCTGCCGCAGGGTCCTAGTGCCCCCCTCCACAAGGGCCAGGGCAGGCTGCCCTTCCCCCGCCCTTCTGCCCTAGTCCTGAGCCTCTCCAATGCCCCAAGCTTCTCCAATGCCTCATCCCCAGCCCCACAGCCCTCATCCAGGCACCCCCTCCTATCCCCAAACTCCATCCCAGAGCCTGCACCCCCACCCCCTGCCCGGAGCCTGCACCCAGCACCCAAACTCCATCCCAGAGTCTGCACTCCAGACCCCCTCCCCCATCCAAACTCCCCTCAGAGGCTTAGGCAATTTTGGGGATGGAGTTTTGGGGGGGCAGGTTCTGGGCACCACCAAAAATTTCTACAAACCTGCCACCCCTGGAAGAGGCAGAGCAGGGGTGGAGTGGTGGTGCAGCCAGTGCAGTGGGGGGGCTTTACTGAGTGTATATATTTTATTAAAACTGTTTGGAGGGGGAGGAAGAGGAGGAGGAGAAGAGATGGAGCAGGGGCAGGGCCTCATGGAAGGGGTGGAGTGGGGGCGGGGCCAGCGAGTGTCAGTGATGCGGCCCTCGGGCCAATGCACTAGTCCTCATGTGGCCCTCGTGGTCATTTGAGTTTGAGACCCCTGGAATAGAATATAACTGGTGAGTTGAGTGACTGATGAGAGATCACATTCAAACTGATGATAGGAAGTAAGTTCCTAACCTCCTGCTCAAACAATGAAAGGAAAAGGTACAGCTGCATAGCATTTAAGAGAGCACTGTGACCATGGAAACACCGGCCTCTCTTGTGCACCAAATCATTATTGCAGAAACAAACTTGAAAGAGCCACAGGAACAGTTCAATGATCACTCCCTATCAACATCTGGTATGATAAATATCTTCCACAGAAGGAAGCAAGTTACCAAGTCTTCAGCACAAAACAAACAGCAGCCCAAAGCCTCATTTCCTACTGGATCTGCGCATGTCCTGCATAGCAGCCCCTGGCTCCAGGAAATCTTCCTGGACAGTCAGAATGGGATCCACTCAGCCAGCAGTCCTCAGAGCACATTACTGATGACTTAGTGTCACCTTCCATCCAGGGAGAAGAGGGTTCTGGACAAGAAAATGAACAGCACAAATCTGCCGTACAGTTCATACCAATACCCCTTCTTGATTAGCATTTACCTTTGCTGGCAGAGAAGACACTGGAGTAGCTGCAATCTTAGCCCTTTCCTCCCTCTTGAAAGAGTGCCAAGGGCCCCAGGCAGCCTAAAGGATGCTCTTGCTGATGACTGTAATTGATTTGCTTAACGATGGTATCAGAGTTGGCTGTGCCTGTAATGTTTTACCCCAGATCCCTAAGTGGCCCCCTCAAGGATTGAACTCACAACCCTGGGTTTAGCAGGCCAATGCTCAAACCACTGAGCTATCCCTCCCCCCAATGTTTTGTGTCACTGCCACCTAATGGAATACATGCAGATAGACATTACCCCTTGTTCCTTTACAGGAGTGGGGGTGCAGAGGGAGAGGGGGGATAGTTTAATTGTTTGAGCACAGATGTAGGCTGGTGGATACAATCACCAGCCTGGGACAGACAGCCATGCCCAGTTCAGTTTGTAGTCCTTACTGCAAGACCCTGTTTATTCTTACACACACACAATGTGAAACAGTAGCAGCAAGTAACAGGCCTGTTCCCATTAAGATTGGGGGGCCTTCTGGGAGCTTAATGATCAGGACCATGAGGTTCTACAGAATCTACTCATCCTCTAGAAATCGTCTGTTTCTGTCACAGGGGAGCATTCTCCTAGTCCTAGTCTCAGACTCCCTGGTGGCTCTGGGGCCCTCATTTATATCCCCTAGCTGGCAATCATCTGACCCAATCACTGGATACCATCCAGCTGGATCTGATGATGCCCAGCACTTGCTTGTTGGGATCTTCTCCTTAATAGGGCTGGCTGGCCCCTTTGTTCTTAAAAGGGCAGACTACCCTGTTACAAAAGGAGTGGGAGCCAGATTCAGGGCTCGGATTCAGCTGGTACACGCGGATACAGCACGAACACCTCTTTCATGCTGCCACTTTATTCTTCAGAATCTAAGCTTTCATTTTAAAAGAATGAAGTCTCTAGCTTACAGCTGCTGAGAGAGCCTCAAAAATAGGAACTAAGTATAACTGATAAAGTGATGTCTGTCTGCATTGGCAGAATGTGAAATAATCACTCAGAAGTGTGGACTGCCCCTTCATCTCCGTGCACACTGACAAGGCTGATGGCAGTAACCAGCTCATGTTTCATCAATGCCTGGAAAAAAGGGGAGGGAGAATTGTGTGTTAAAGATCTGTCCAATCTACTGAGAGGGACAGCTTCTTCTGGCACCATGAGGATTGGGCCTGGGAAAATATTGCTACTTTTCCCATCACCCACTCAAGAAGCCAAGCCCAAGGAACTTAGGAGAGACCCGCAGGGCATCCATGTCCCCCA